TTTTTTTTAAGCCTGATCCTGCAGTTTTTCCCACATAGACTTTGGCAGGCCTATGCAGTGAAATGAAAAGAAAGATGTTCTCTGGTATTACATTAATAGACCAAGACACAGGGGACATCTTACAAGCACAAACCAGATAAACCATTTGGTAGGCTACCAAATGCCACCTGCCATTTTTTGGGGCAACTTTATAAAACAACTGCAGATGACTTAAAGGTCTAGTGTGTAATATTTAGGAGCATCTATTGGCAGGAATGCCAATCCTTTTACCCCTCTTTCTCGAAGCCCAACTGTCGCCAAGTGCTTGCCCATGGTTGGAACTGTTGGTTCTCAGTTATAATTTTATTACTGTCTAGACCTACTCTATTTGAAAAGTGTCATGAGATAACTTTTGTTACGAATTGGCGCTATATAAATAAGATTTTATTGAATTGAATTGAATTGAATTGAATTAGTGTTTCTGGTGTCAACTAGCGAGATTAACAAGTTTCTTAAGTAACTTATGTAAGTAAGTTATCGTATAATCTGTAGAATTAAGTAAAACCCAGACTGTGCACACCTACTATACAAAACACAGACATTGTGGATGGGTGCACTTTCATGCTAAAAAGACACCAAAATTACACTAAGCCACCAGACCTTTGTCTTTCCTGTAGCCAAGTAGAAACTCAGACCAATTATCCTAAGTACTTTTTGCAAGACATTTTCCTCAAGAAAATATGCAAAACTAAGCAAAACCTCAAACAGAGTCACACAGCCCCGGTCATTGCAACCAACGTAACCAGAATTGGTCTGGGCTTTTTGAGGTAAGTGAGTGGTTCGAAAAACACAAAAAAAGAAAGGACATACAAAAAAGAGACATTCATCCATCCAGCCATCCATCATAACCGGTACTACGGTGAAGCCAATTTCCACAAAGCTGCTAAGCTGATTGAGGCAGACCAAATCTGTTTCACCAGCTTACATTCCTTCAAAATGGCCATCTCACTTCCAATATCACGGGCTTTTACTGTTCCCCATTCCCCTGGCTCAGGCTGAGAGTTAGCACGGCTTAGCTGGATGAAACACTCCAACAGCCCAGTTCTCCCCTGGAACCCACTGATATCTCTATAGCACAGCCTCTCCCCACATAGCTACACTTAGTTGGTTTATTTACTCATACTATTATTCTTTGCCTGTTTAATTCCTCTCCTTCAAATCATAACAATATTACAACCATTAGTATGCAAACTAAAGATGTATGTGAATTCTGACAATTCTAGGCACAGAGACACAATCTAATCACAGCGTCTGTATACAAACACACACACACACACCTTGGCAAAATGCACAGGCAGCACTTAACCACAACACCTTCTACTGGAGTAGATTAAATTCACACAAGGCCTCTTTGAAGAAGGAAATTGGACAGATAAGAAACAGATTTCTATGAAAGAAGCTTGTGAGGGGGTCTATAGAGAGAGAGCTTGTAGGTGTGCAATGGAAATGGTTGCTCACCTTTTTTTGTCACCTGTAAGCTTGCTCTTGCATGAGCCTCTGTACATATTGGGTTACATGATATTTATCAATCTTTTGCTGTTTATTGTGTCATATTCCCCTCCCCCAGTCACTTACTCACTGTCTCTCTCTCACACTTTCTCTGTCATTTTGCCACAACAGCAAATATCCTGTTGGCCCAGGCTGCAGGCTGCTGGTGCTGGTCTATCTGGCCCAGAGATCGATCCGGCTCCAACCGAGGCCTCCCATTCATCTCAGAGCCATAAAATGTGATTAGTGCTGACTACAGCACTGCAGGGAGATGGGCTGATAGGCCTGATAGCCTCAGATAGGCTGTGCTGGACACTCTACAGGAAGACAACAGCAACAGCATGCTGTGGTCCTATCCTCTGCATTTGATTTTTTCTCACTCTCATCTTTGTCAATCTTTCTCTCCCTACCTCTTTCTATCTTACACCCTCTGTCATTATATTTGGATGTCTTCCAACTGTCTCTCTCCAAACTTTAACTCTCTTTTTTTTGTTTGCTTCATATCTAAGCCTGACAAATTACATAGCAGCAGTCAAACTTAACTGCCAGTATTGTCAGTTTTACCTTATACCTATCCTGCAAAGTTATATTTAAATGATAGAACAAGCTTCCATCCCCCTAAAGCCACACTCGCTGTACCCACATACAGTGTATCTCTGTGGCATGTGACCACCTCTGTCAGCCAATCATGGAGCTCAGAGCTTGCCAGTGGCAGAAACAAGCTGACAGGCTGTGACAAGAAGTAAGATAGGACATAGAAGAATGCCTCAATTCTAAGGGAGAAACAACTTTGGTAGTGTTATGGGTACACATTTCTAATACACTCAGATGTGTTAGAGGGCATTTAGGAGAGTTTCAAGGGAGGCATTATGACAGTATGAGTATGACTTTTGACTACTTAACATAATGAAACCGTATCATACCTAAACATCATTATTACATCTTTTTTGCTGACACTGCTCCTGAACAACAATGTTCTGAGGGAAACACACGGTCTTATTTCATCCTTATTCAAATAAGGATCTTTAAATTGGCTTACCATTTACCATTATTAACTTCAAGGAGGCCAATGTTAAAATGTGTAAAGAATTAAGCATTAACTTTATTATAAACTGTTTTATTTATAATTTTGTGAAGGTAGCACATTGACATACATTCATAGGACTGCCTTTAATGCTAGGTCGCTGAAAGCCCCTTTCTAACTTGTGATTTAAAACTTAACTTGTACATAATATCTTTATTAAACTTGATCTGACTACATACTGTCTCTATTTGGATTGATATGACATCGTTATGGCATTGGCATAAAGACTCTCTGTACTCCACTTTAAACGTTTGATTGCTCTAATTAAGCACCCATAAAGGAGTAGTCTGAGTGTGTTATGGAGTATCTAGCATGCCTCACGATTAATGGTAACACTATGTAAAATGATAGCATGCTGACCTGTGTCTCACGGATGTTCTCCACTGTGAAGTTGAACCAGACTCTGAAGCGGGGGTTGCAGGTGTCAGGCCGGATGAAGAGGTCAAACTCAAACTCACTGATGTAGTCAACACGTCCAAGGTTCCCTGCAGAGGCAGTGAAACAGCTTACGTTAGCATTAAGTAGAAGTGAGCAGTCCACAACACACAATCACAGTGGATCATTTCTTCTGTATTCGTTATAGCACACAATCAATGGACTCAAAGCATTACAGACAGACAAGCAAGCACAAGACAAAATGATGCTATAACACACCCCTGCGTCACTTCAAACTGAGGATTTCAAAGACATATGTGTTAAATCAATAAGTCAAAGTCTAGTGTCTACTAATAGTGCTTCACTGTTATAGTGGACTCCAGCCTGGTTTATCATTGTATGTATCTTCACAGTCCCTCAAACCACAACTATGCGCACAGAGAGCGGTTAGTATGAGGATCAGAAAGACAAACAGCAAGGTGGTTCTAGCCATCCATATCTTACACAAAATATACTAACTACAGCAAAAAGATCCAGATGATCAGTGGAAGTATAATTAATCCAATGGGAACTATTTCCCCGCATCCAATTCTCATAGCTGTCTATAAGATGACTGGGTAGTAGATGATTACATGACAAGCATTCTAAATATAGACCATGTCGGAATCTTCTGATGGTATATATCCACACACATGTAGCGGAGACTCTTATGGTGGCACAAATTAGTGAACTTCAAAGCGAAGAGAGTGTGTTAGCCTTTCTTGTGGGAGCTGCATGGAAAACGTACGAACTGACAGCTTCTTTCAACTGAATGCTGTGCTTGACCCAAAATGCAAGACAGGTCAACTCTGTCATTTTAAATGGTAAACTGAGATGCTGCATTAACCAGCAGCTGTTCAAGAGTTGAGTTCACTGGCAAACTAGGCGGACCACAATGTCCCTCACAACTCTACATCAGGGTACTGTTGACCACCTGTTGGTAAGTAGCACCATAGCAGCAGCACGCACACACAGACACAGCTGATTATGGACAGATGGGCTAACTACCACACTGTCAAAGTAGATCCCTCTCCTTCTGCCATCGGACAGAGCTAATCCACTAGTCAGCTTGCAGCACACACACACACACACAAAACACACTTTGCTTTGCTCCACTGAAGCTACCCACTGAAGTGCTATCATTAGTTTATATAGGACTGCAGAAAAACTACAAGGTGCTTTGAAACATAAACAAGACGAGTATTTCAGTTTAAAGTTTTATATTCATGGTGGTATTTTCAACAATTTCAACATGGCATGCAACAGAAACACACAGGCAGCAAGAAAGAAATTCCAAGATGTTATTGTGTAACAATGAGCTGATGACTGATCAATATTTACATTTGAAGCCAATCCACCAACAGCTCCCGCAGCTAGCGGACTAATGGTGAGTGGCATCTCATTCCAGCACACTGGTGCCTGGGAAAAAAAATCCCTCTCTGCAGGCCGCTACTCTGACTGATTAGGGAGTGGCTGAGCTGTGCTGGAATGTATAACTATGTACTTCATCTAGTCATTCATCTAGACTCTGATAATTCTATATTCAAGACAACAACATATGAAAGAAAAGTTTGACAGACAATAAAAGGAAGGCAGAGAGGTGTGACAGAGAGAGACAATAAGACTATATGTTGATGAATAAACTTTATTATGTAACTTTAATTACATGTGCTGAGGAAGGGTTACGCATGTCGGTCTTTCTCTCTGTACATGTGTGCATGTCAGGAAAAAC